TAATTCTATGAGTAGCAATTGGAAAAAATTAGAATTTATGGTCTAGTTCTTGCTAGCAAGTTTTAGCAAGTTATTAAAAGAATGAAAGGAAATCAGGCAAAAGCTAATTCATTTGTAAGCATCAAAGGAAGGAAATAAAGTTAATAGACAAATATTAGATTGGGAGAATATGTCTGTAATATTTCAAACCATAAGAGACTAATTTCTACAATAGGTAAGGTGTTTGTGCAAATGAATAAGAATAGAAGAGAACAGGGAGCCCACCAAAATAAATTAAAAAATCCAACAGGCCAGGTGCAGTGGCTCACACCTGTAATCCCAGCACTTTGGGAAGCTGAGGTGGGAGGATTGCTTGAGGCCAGGAATTCCACTCCAGACCAGCATAGTGAGAAGCTGTTTCTACAGAAAATAAAAAAGAATTAGCGAAGGCTGGTGGTGCATGCCTGTAGTCCTAGCTTCTCAGGAGTCTGAGGCAGGAGGATCACTTGAGCCCAAGAGTTCGAGGCTGCAGCGAGCTATGATAATATCACTGTACTCCAGCCCTGGCAACAGAATGAGTTCCTGTCCCCAAAACAAACAAACAAACAAAGAACCCAAACAACAACCAAAAAAGACCAACAGAAAAGACAAGAACCCAATAGAAAAAATGGACAATGGCAGAGACTGCTAGCTATCTCCAGGTATCTGTTTCCCCTTTCTTCTATAGTATAGTACTAGGTTATAGCTGGGCCCATAGCTGTTACCGAAAGACTTCCTTTCGAGTGTGGCTATGTGACTAAGTCCTCGTCAGTAGGATCTGAGAGGAAGCGATATGTACCACGGCTGGTTCAGAACCTTAAAGAAACATGCATGCCTTCCCCTGCCTGTATTCTCCTCTTTCTGTTGGCATGATGGGAGACCAGAGGTAGAGGTTGTGTGTTGAGGAGTGTAGATGAACAAGGTAAGAGGCATCCTCAACATTTGAATTTTTTTTTAAATTATGGAGCTAGCATAGCAACCATAGACTGCTCTTACTATTATGTAAGAAGGAAATAAACTTCCATCTTGTATAAGCCACTGTTATGCTATTTGGGTCTCTGTTACAGCCTTTGCAATATATATCATAACTAATCCATAATTTGGTACCTAGAAATAGGAATACCTAAAACCTGAAATATATTTGAATTACTTAGAGGTCAGGTGGTAGGCAAAAAGTACATGGGTACAGTATAGCATCCTGGAAAGCCATTGACTCTTGTTAGACTTGGTGACATATTTGGTAAAACTGTCCCCTGGTAGATCTTTGCAGGCAGACCACATGCCTATTGAGCCTGGAAAAAGAATGTTGGTGTGTATCATCTACTTGTCAGTTCTAGCCAGTTTGCAAGCAGACATGGAAGACTCTCTGAGTGCAGCATGCAATCTAAATTAACTGAGAGGTCCAATGATGCTAACTAAATCTTCAAGGTTTGGAAAAGCCCATTAGTTCTATATCCAAAGAGCCTAGAAGGTAAGACTGTATCCTCAAGGTTTTCTCTAGAGCTTCTTTTTAAGTGTTCTCTACCAGACAATGGCCTCCAGCCCAGTGGTAAGCTTCAGATTCAGGGCGTTAACATGAAGCTTTTTTGTTTCATATGGCCTTTAGGCAACTGTCATAAATTGAAGAGAAGAGAAGCAGAGCACAGATGACATAATAAAAGAGGAGAGTTTTCAAGCTTATGATCTATGACCAAATAAGATCTCTGGCTGTAGTGATTTGCAATGGAATCAAATATAAATAAGTAGTTTAGAAAACTATTAAGTTTTTGCTAAAGAAACCACAATACTGGCCTACAAGAGCATGTGACAATTTTATTCTTCAAGCAACCCCTGAGCTCCCCCAAACCAGCACCAGCAAATTAAAACAAGATATCATTTTGGCCCATCAATTTGGCAAAAATTAGAAATATGGATATTAATGCTAAGTGGTCATAGGGGAGTATAAATGTAGGAACCCCCTAGGCACTGCTGCTATGTAGATTGATGTGAACATTCTGGAAAGCAATCTTATAATATCTAGTCAAATAAACTAGAAATGAACACATAACTTATAAGCCATAAATCACCTTCTTATGTATTTATCCCAGAGAAATTCTCACATTGTTTCTTAAATATTCTTGCAAGAATATTTATTTTGTCATTGTTTGTGGTAGCAAGATGCTGGAAGGCAATCTAGTTATTCATCACTGGAGGAAAAGATAAACATTAATAAAACATGGTGCTATGCAGCAGTTAGAGGCAAGGGATCAGATGTATACACAGCAATATAGACAGATGTTAAAAATAGTGCTGATTGTATGAAAACAACCAAAGTGTCTGTCAGTGGACAAATGGGTAAAGAAACTATGGTATGTATATAAATGGAATATTATTCAGCCCTAAAAAGAATGAGATCTTGCTATTTGCCACAATGTAGATAAGCCTGGAGGATATTATGTTAAGTGAAATAAGCCAGACACAGAAAGAAAAATATTGCCTGATCTCACTTATATCTGGAACCTAAAAAAATGAAACAGTTCAAATATACAGAGATAGAGAACAAAACAGTGGTTACCCAGGGCCGGTGGGGCTTACGGGAGAGGAAATACGGAAATGTAAGTCAAAGGATACATTGTAGCAGATATGTAGAATGAACAAGTCTAGTGATATAATGTACAACATGAGGACTGTAACTAATAAAATTGTACTATATTTGGGATTCATGCTAAGTGAGCAGATTTTAGCTGCTCTTGCCACAAAAATTTTAAAAAGTGAGTAACAATGTGAGATGATGGATATGTTAATTTGTTTCACTATAGTAACCATTTTACTGTCTATTTGAATCTCATAACATCATGTTGTATACATGAAATATACATAATAAAATTTATTTTAGAAAACAGTGCTGATTGAAAAATCATAAACAGATGAAGGTCTATATTTTAATACCAATGTACTACTAAATGATGTATACATAAGGTTGTACAGTGCGGTGTGGTTTGTAATAAAAAAAACATTGGACAACTCATATCCATCATAGGGAACCTGTTAAATAAAGGATGGTGCATGCACACAGTGCAATACTATGGAGCTGTAAAAAAGAGAAATCTTTCAATATAATAGTGGAAGGATCTTGAAAATACATTAAGTAAAAAAACAAAGTACAGGCAGTATATACAGTAAGTTAATTTTGTGCCAAAAGGGGTATAGGAATGTGTATTCATATTTGCTTTATTTGAACAAAAAAACACTGGAAGGATAAATAAGAAAGCAATAAATGTGGTTACTTGTAGTGGGGGTAGCCTGGGGACAGCATGGGTGGGAGACAGGAATATGAGGGAGAGTTTTCACTGTTTACTTTTAAAAAAATTTTAAACCAAAGAATATCATATTTATTTAAATAATTAAATAAGAATATATGAACACAAAATACTACATGTATTACAAAGACATAAACACACACAAATAAGAGGATACAGAGCAAACACATTGACTGGCTGTTCAAAGTGTAGGTGGTGAATGGGGGTGGAGAATTCAGATGAAAAAGGAACAAATGAATAAATAAAAATAAGTGAGGCGGTTCTGACCAACCAGTGATGAGAATGGGCCACGAACTGGGTTATAAAAAGAAAAACAAACAATAAGTTTTAAAGAAGAGGTATTTCAATTTCTCCAGTATTTTGGGGGAGGAAAAAATATTTTCTGACAGTTAGCCAATCTTTAATTTCCCAGAATATCAAGGAAAGTTTGAACAATGGCCTATTTGTTCAGACTTATGGAGAAACAGGTAAATTGTCTGTTGAGTATGTTATGTTTCTAAGCCAACTTGTCCAACATTAGAAATAGAACATAAAATTATATTCCCTCATTTGAATAAAGAACTAAAAGGAAGAATGAAATAATAGAGAAGGAGACAGCACTAATAAATTGTAAAAAAATCATGGAACTATGGTCAAGCTAGATGATAAAATTGAATTAAGGCATCAGAAAACCAACCTGTCCTTTATCCATGTCACTATTTGCATTTTCTGAGTCCATTGTGTCTGTCCTTTTCCTCTTTCCTTTTCTAAAAGCTTGAGTATTGGTAATTTCCTCTGTCTGCAAGATCTTCTGCATTTTGTCAATTAGTTATCAAAGGTTTTCTGAAATTGTAGGAGGAGGGAATGCCCATGTAGATGATGCTATTCTGGACGTGGCCCAAAAGTTAATGTTTTTCCTTAAAAACAAAAACAAAAAAAGGACACATAATGTATTTACAACTGTATGTTTCATAATGGTACTAGCCAGGTAAACTACTTTCACTGAATGCTTCCTATTGTTCTTTCTTCCACTGAGCAATTTAGTATACATTTCCGTTTAATTCAACAGTCTTTCAATTTCAATATCATCATAAGGATGTTTATGTTTCTGTGGTGCGATATGCGACAAGTTGTCATTTATGAAATCAAATAGTGCAAAATTTTTTCATCTTTATAAGTTTCTTTTAGAGGGGACAAAAAATGTTTAACAAATTGAATTATGGTGATGGTTGCAAAACCCTGTGAATATACAAAAACCATTCAATTATACACTTTAAATGGATAAATTGCATGGTATGC